TTTTTGATAGTTACCAGTTCAACCAAAGACAACATATCAAAATAGTAGTCTTTTTGGCTTCAGAAGGTAAAATTATCCAGGGTTGAAAAACATACAAAACATTTATTATCTCAAATTCCTTCAGATGTAACTTGTGACCACCTGTAGGGTCCGGACCCCCGGGTAAAGCACTACTGCTTGATCATGATGTATACCCTTGAAGAAAGTGCTTCTGCTTCTTTATGAGCATAAGGGAAAAACACTGCTGGTGCATGCAGCATTAATAAATGTTGTGTATATGCCCCATGAAAAATAACTATTATATAGGTCTTATATCTTCTTCTCTCTCCTTTTTGTCTCCCCCCCCCTCCACCCAGGAGACAGACTGCAGAGGAGCGAGAGGCCGAGAGGCAGCAGGCAAACCGGCTGATGCTGCAGCTCCAGCAGGAAGCTTTCCAGAAGACGTTGAGCCAGCCTCTGCAGCCGGACCCGCTCTGCCTGCACAACTCCTCGCTGTACGCCCTGCAGAACCTGCAGCCCTGGGCAGACGACAATAAGGTGACCTCCGTCACCTCCGCGGCATCTGTAGTGTGAGAGAGTGTGTGTGTGTGTGTGTGTGTGTGTGTGTGTGTGTGTGTGTGTGTGTGTGTGTGTGTGTGTGTGTGTGTGTGTGTGTGTGTGTGTGTGTGTGTGTGTGTGTGTGTGTGTGTGTGTGTGTGTGTGTGTGTGTGTGTGTGTGTGTGTGTGAAGAAGGGAGGGCGGGAGTGAAAGAGGGTTTGAACAAGCTGAGATTGAAACGTGTCGTCAGTGTGAATGGACAACAGGGAAGAATCTCCTCCCTATTTCTGAACATGACTGACGTTCAAAAACGCAGCATCATTATGGGATTGTCATAGATACAGGAAGTTGAATGGACATTGTGTTTCCTCACTTTTTGATCGTTACCAGCAACATGGTGGGGGAGTGTTAGTATCTGTTACTGCCAAGACCTACAAAACACTGTTTGCAGAGGAGCCAAATTATACAACTGTTATCTGAAATATCTAAAGTATGTTGAGTCATTCTCCTGCCTTACACCAAGTTTCCGCTTTCCCTTCAGCTGATCTAAAAGAGAGGAGGGCACTTTATCCATAAGTGCCAGGAAACAAAAGGACACCTCTGTACATGCCCAACTATCAAGACTGTCCCCCCCTTTTGCCTCTGGATCCCTCACGAGGCAGCAGAGACTCTCTGCCAGTAACGGCAAAAAAAGACCTCCTGTTTTTCGCTTTTGACTTTGTACAATGTAGTAAAATGCATGTTTCAACCCTTTTCTGTGTGCACTCGGAAGTACCACACTACCGTGGAGGTGGACTGCGGTGTTCAGGTGGTTGTGGATTGGTGGAACTCCTGATGACGAATTCCTCATTATGTTCAATTTAAAGGTGTTTTATATTAAATGATATTGTGACTTTTTGAAAAAGATGACACACCTCTCTGTTTTTCTCTCCTTTTCTCTGGTTCGTTCTTTCGTCCACTGCCTGTTTGTTGTTTGTCACCATTACGATAACCGTGCAATAATACTTTATGATTTCAGCTAGCTAGTTAGCCTCATGGGATCTAGCTATGATTACACATTAAAGTTTCAAACCACCCAAAGGTAAGATACCATTGAATTGTATCAGAAGGACAGCGCAATACCTTTGTCTTTATCCATAAAAACTGATGACTACAGCTCCCAGGTGTGAGTGTGAAGGAGGGCGTTGCCGAAAAAACAGCGAGCATGCTCAGCAAAACCCTCCCTGGATAAATAAAGGTTTGAAAACTGATGCCAGCTCAAATTAGACCGAGAGTACACGAGGAAGTACAGATTGTGCAGCTGCCGAGGGAACATTTTAAATGCAGCGGCCTGGTTTTTATTTATGGTTTTGGTTTTATTCTAGTGCTATCTGTAAAGGACGGTGTTTTTTAAGTGTGTGTCCCCATCAATGTCTTCCCTCAACTTTTTACTGAGTCAAGGGTTCTTCAAGAGAGCTGAATCTCTTACAACATTTCTGGCATAGTTTGAAATCAGCTGTTGCAAGACTCAGATGATCAGTCTAAGCAAGAAGCTCCTTTGTTGTTGTTTTTTCTAATGAAATGCATATCGTTACGCTATCCAGTCATTCTGCTGACACATACAGGAGGAACTAAATCACACTCCCTCAAATACCACAAAACGTTGTCATTATGTTTTATGTTCAGGTTGATGTTATTTTTTAGCTAGGTCAAGCAAGTTAAAAGCTGCGGTAAAATGTAAACTAGGGCCGTTTCTCAATGTCGAGTAGACCTGCTGCAGAGCCACTATTTCAAGTATACTACGTCATCGAGTGGCGCCGAAGGACTGTTTAAATGCATGTTAAATGCCCAGCATTCGGCGTCACTCGATGGCGTAGTATACTTGAAATAGTGGCTCTGCAGCAGGTATACTCGACATTGAGAAACGGCCTAAGTCTACACATATAATTGAATCCTCAATGACACCAGCCTTATCTCTTCAAAACCCACCCTTTCTGAACGTAAGCTCCCACACTATTTTTGGAATCGGCTTCCATTGTTGTCTAGGTGAATCTCGGCCACATACACACCAGACAGTCGTAAACATTTGTTATCGCCACATCCACCCTATCAGGAGAATGCTTATCGCTCAAGTCATAACAAAAACGAGCTATCTAGAATGCAGTAAACACATCATTCAGGTTCCCTGCCCGTAAATGAGCTTCACCACCATGAAATTCACAGGAAATGGGACAACCATATTTGTTCAATTTGGTTTGTATTATTACTGTCATTTCAAAAGAGTTTAGTACATTGCTCATTAGGCCTCAATCTGCATTGCTGATGAGGAACATTCATAACATGACTTGGCTTAAAGTGGACCTATCATGCTATATTTGAATAATATAGTGTAGGACCATACCTATATAAGGCATATTTATACTTTTTTTTTTTCAAAATACCAAACAGATCATGCATTTTAGCCATGCCTCATTTTGCTCAATTTGACATTTTTTAGCTCTGTTTTTGCAAGGGCTGATTATGTGAGAACAGCACCACCTACAGGCCTGGCATATGTACTACAGCGTCTCCAGCGCTTTCGAACGGCAATGGCCGCGGCTGTCTCCTCCTGATTGGTGGAGTTGGCCCAATAGCCGTAGTGCCACTGTCCTGACGTCAGGACAGTGTTCAAATCTGGATCAGTTTTTATCAGATCCGTTGCAGCCTCTTTTTTAGAGATTTGGGTATGGAGGAAAATAGAGAGGGTTGTGTTTTCTGACACTTGGTGAGTTCCCTGGAACACCGGGGACACATATTCATATATAAAAGACGTACAAAAGTGCATTTTGCATGATAGGTCCCCTTTAAATAAGTACACTAAAGAGGAAAATGTCCTGTGCAAACATCTGTCAGGGACATGGATTTGAATATGAAAGGATCTTGAGCTTAGGAGAAGATATTACAACAACATCTACTCAATTTGGAACGTGTCTAAGATTCACTTCTTTATGCCAATAATCCTGCATACTCAGAAATGTCACCTGGTGAGTTCATGTCTCCATGCTTTAATGTTCAAAAAGCTCTTTATTTTTCTCATACTGCCTGTGCTGCAGCACCTCTTTTCACCCTCTGTCTGAAACCACAGCCCAGTCTGCACTGATTGGTTAGCTGGCCGGCTCTTTTGTGATTGGTCAACCGCTTAGAGATGTCCCGATGGTACATGACCATGCATGCTGCTGTCAAATACTTCCTTTTTTCAATATATACTCAAATATGCCAACTCCAGGGTAAACATTGTTTACCTAGCATCTGGCAGCTCTTAGTTGTTGCTCAGAGCAGGTTGATGTTCTGGTTCGAAACAGCTGTCTACAACTGCAGCCACCCCCAACAACCCTGGGCTTTCTCTCCTAATAACAGCGCCTACGTTTAGTCAGTGTTCAGGGCGTCTTGCCTGGTTGGGATCCTGTCAATAGCAGGCAGTTCTCCAGGTGACGCCTCCTCCACCCCCATTTCCTCCGCTCCCTGCTGCTTTCATCTCTCTGTCTCCGATGCCTTGAAGACGTGACTTGGCTCATTTTCGAGAAATTCCTCCCTTTACTGTTTTCAAGGCGGTGCATTGTGTTTTACTACAGGTGCTTAAGATTTTTTGTCATGGCTGTGTATTCGTTTTTCTCACCCCCTCTCTAGCCGCCAAAGAGCCCTGTCCTTATCCAATACAATGTCACCACACAAGATGAACAAGAGAGGCTCAGGGTATATCAGACTTCCTATCAAGCACTGTTATGAACAGGGCCACCAGGAAAGTAAAACTATTCACCACATACGTTGTGTTGTGCTCCGTGTCACGCTCCGTCTTCTCCCACAAGTTGTTTCCATTCTTGAGAAACGCAGTCAACATTTAAGTCATTATCAGGCAGCTGTTGTGGCTTCAATGAGCGGAGCAAAGTCAGGTCGATGCCTGAAGACGGGCTGATAAACATTCTGGCAGGCCTCCAGAAAATGTCCTATTTTATACTAAATGCGCAGTTTGTAGAATTATGGTTTGTTTAGATAGTCCAACACTAAGGTTATAACAACCAAGGTGTTGACAAGTTTTGCTTGAGAATTGCTGAATGTCTACAGACTACCTAACACACACTTTTACCAGAAACCACAACCATTACTTAGGCTTTTATTGGAGAAACCCTAACCCTAACCCTAACCCTAGCCCTAAGCATCCAATAGAAAACAAACATCTTCGAAGTAAAGAGATTTTCGTATTAATTTAGTTTCTTTTATGTCACATTTGTTACCTTTCAGAGCTAAGAGCCCGAATAGGACTGTTAAAATAAAGATTAGCTGCGGTTTACTGAGGAGTGTGGTTTGTTTACCATGTCTACTTAACTATGGCTTGATTGCCAAAATGTTGAAGTGGGATTATCTGCCACTCATTTCAGTGGTACAACACCTGACTGATGGGCATGATATTGTTTTTCTTCTACGTGATAGCACATGTAATAATATCAGTCCACAGTCCTGACGGCCATGTTCAGGCCATGACAGCTGCTGTAGCCACTCGATTTTGGGAGAGACCAACGGCCGCCAAGGTCTATTAGATCACTGCTTATGTGATGACATGTTTGACTTTGTTGACGAAAGCTCCGTTGACTTCAGTTCTTAGTTTTTGTGTCGTGGAAAATAGCATTTGCAGATTGCAGAGGAATTTTGATGTCTGACAATTTCCATCAGATGCTTAGTGAAGTCTCTATGTCTTTATGAGGATGTCTCATAAATAGGGAGGAGATTAGCACATGAGCATTAGCTGTTCTAGGGTGCAAACACATACAGTCAAACACACATTTACACACTATAGCCACATAAACACAACACACACAAAGAATCAAAACACCTCATATCATGAAATCAATCATTCAGTCAATAACTACAGAAGAGAAACAACAATTATCATCTTTTCACCCATTATTTAGTTGAAAATAAAATGAACAATCAACCAATTTCTAAGAACATTTAGTCAAAGTCAAAGTCAACTTTAATGTCAATCTTTCAGTTTGTGTGTACAGACAGAGAAATCGAAATAACGTTTCCAACAATCCCGAATACAAAAATACAATAATACAAATATACAAATATGTATAAAATATGTATATCCTATATATATACAATCAACAGACACATTTATAACACACTTCTACTACAAATATAGTTATTCATGGCAAACAATACCTTGTCTGAAAATACCCTTACATTGTTTATTCATGTATCCTGCGCTTTCAGAAATATTACATTTCAAAGAATATGGTATTAACCCTTAGATGCCCGAGTGACTGGACCCTACACTCTTCCATAAGTGGGTCAAAAAGGACCCGTATTAGAATAATATGTGTTGTTATGCCATTTGTGTCATTTTGGTTAAGAAAAATCACTTGTATAATATTTAGTATTATATTTTGGTTCACACTAGAAATATTTTATATTTAATTTTTCACTATTTATAATTTTAGACATTTTTTTACATTTTGAAAAAAAACGTTTTGAACATATTGATGCAAAGATCTCCGCTTGTAAAGCGGTTTTGAGTCCTTGAAAAGCCCTATACAAATATAATGTATTATTATTGTTATTATTATTATACTGACAGGTATCAGATCTTGCTGTGTAAAATAATCTTCCTGAGAGGTGTCACTTGTGATGTAGTCTGTGTGGTCTACAGTGAATGTATTCCTGACAGCAACAGGTGATAAGAATCAAAGGTTCCCATAGGATTCCATAGAAAATGCATGCGGGTCATTTTTGACCCAAGTAAGGGAAGCTTGGGGTAGTAATACAAAAACTACAATTTCTTAAAATATAAAACATTTAAATTAAAAATTTGAATGGCATGATATCCAAAACATGTTTTTTGAGGAATAGCTGGAATATGAAATGATAAAAAATTTTAATTACAAAGATACTTCAAGAAAACCACCTCACCGGGTCAAAAAATACCCACTTATGCATCTAAGGGTTGAATAGAATAATGATTTTAAAAGAAATGTTTGAATGAAATTCTCGGCCAAGGGTGATTTCGACTTTCACTCATACATTCATACATTTAGTTTCTTACACCATAACTCATAGAAACGACTATACAGGTCAACACATTTCAACTCCGATGGAGCAGAGGTATTCAATCGTAAACATTTCAAAACCAGGATATTTCTGCTTTTCCCAGAGCCATTTATTTTTGAACATATTGATCACCTAGCATTAGCAATGACTCAGAACCACAAGGCCCTGGTGATAAATGTAATGGTCCTGTAATATTTAGTTTTATTATGTTGTCTATGAATGTTTTACTGCTCAGGATACAATATAATTCTTTATGATGTCCTGTGGCTTCCTTTATTTAAATAAGGTAACCTCTTGAGTGGAGACTTTCAAATCTTGATGGATAGACAGATGCATGTTTTTAACCAGAGGACCAATTCATTCCTTAGAAAACATCTGACTCAATATTCATATATATGTGTGTACTATGAATCACCATATTCTTCTTTAATATGGAGATTATTAAATATATATATCCTGTTGTAGCCTAGCAGGAAAATGCTGGAGCATCGAGTCACTTCCATCAAGGCGAGTGAAGAAAGAAAAACTCTCTCTGCAGTCTGACAGCGTGACCGAGACTTCAGAGTAACTCAACCTGCTGACATGACACGCTTTCATGAGCCTCTCTTTTATTCACACGTGCACACACTCACACATGCATGTTCTCACTCTCATAAACATGTGCAAACAGTTGCACTTATGCATGGTCACATACATACTATATGTTAATGCAGGGACAAAAAGCGCACATGCACACATACATATGAACATCTTGCTATAACCATTGCAGAAGGTATTTTTTCTCTGATGGTGACGCAAGTTAAGAAACAAGTACGGAACATTTTGATCAAGAATATAAACTAGTCTATATTTAATAGTAGTAAATAATCGGTCAAAATCCCAATACTTTATTTATCCCTGAAAAAATGGTGTCTTTGACAGTTGCTCTGTTTTAAAATGAAATCTTTTTTAAAAATAGAGTAAAAATATTTGAAGTTCATGTAAGAATGTGCAATTAAAAGATACATTTATAAATAAAATATAATCAAATACATATATTTATATAAGCATAAGAAGTTGTGTTGTAAGAAAATGTCCAATCAAATACAAATACAAATAGAATAATAATATTTAAATAAAGATAAGACGTAATAATGTGCACATTGTTCTACAATATATAAATATAACAATTATTTACAGTAGTAGTAAAAGCTATTCATAAACATTTATACTTTCTTGGAAACATGCTCTGTTGTCAGGTAATTACTAAGCAAGTAAAAATAACAGAAGTTATAAAAAGTATTTCTAGAAAGTCATATATCTCTACACCTCGATGATTGCAAAGTAAATGTGTTGAGTAAGTCCACGGTGTCTTTCATGAGAGCGGCTCTGCAGACGTGTCTTGGCAGTCTGTGACACATTAATGCTTCTCAAGCTCTCAGGCATGCATGAAGGCTTCTCATTCCTTCTGGGTGACACTGGTGCTGCGGATCAGTGACTCAACACCTGCTGAATACGGGCCGGCAACTTACACACTGTGAGGCAATCATTACAGAGATATTTCACAATTAAACAACTCGGATGCTGTTTCACAATTTCAGCCGTTTTATTCTGTGTGTGTGATGTTTTCTTTTGCAACAGAAATTAAATAAAGTCAACACTTGGTAAGTATATGGTCCAGAGAAGAAGTACTCAGATCCTTTAATTCAGTACAAATTGCAATACTACAGTGTAAGAAATACTCTGCCACAGGTAAAGTCCTGTATTAACAATCGTAACTAAGCAAAAGTATGAAAGTATTAGCATCTAAATATACTTGAAGTACCATAAGTAAATGTACTCAATATGCAGATTTTCCATTTTAATTGTCCAGCTTGTAAGGGAGGAGCTACCTTTAATTACTTTTTTACTTTTATGTATCTTTTTTGAATACATCATTTTGTATTTATATATTTTTTATTAATTATATGAACCAGCAACGTAACTAGTATCTTAAGCTGTCAGATAAATGGAGTAAAAAGTACAATATTTGCATCCAAAATGTAGTTAAGTAGAAATATATGTATGAAATGTAAATACTCAAGTAAAGAACAGAAAGCTCAAGATAGTTCTGAAGTACAGTACTTGAGTAAATCTACTCAGTTACTTTCCAACACTGCCTACTAGCTACTTAACGGCCTTGGACCCCATTTACACGGGAACGTTTGCGTTTACGCACCGTATGCGTTTTCAAAAAAGTCTTCCGTTCACACACATTCGATTAATTTAACGTGTCCGTTCACACGAGACCGCTGGAAACGCTGGAAACGCTGGAAACGCTGGAAACGCTGGAAACGCTGGAAACGCTGGAAACGCTGGAAACGCTGTAGTAGCCTACATATGCCGGGCCTGTAAGTGGCGCTGCTGCCACCACAAAATACACCAAAAGCAGCGAAGAAGAGCCCGGAGCATGGTTGCGTACACACGGAGCCGTTTGACCCCCCAGAGCGTTCCGTTTGCAGACCTATCCACCTTGAGATCCGTTATCGTTTGCGGGGTCCGTTTCTATCGTTTTGTTACGGCCTCGTGTAAATGAAAGGGCTATACGCAAGAGAGACTATGCGGATACAACCCGTATCGTCCTCGTGTAAACGGGGTCTAAGAACCTGCCTTTATGTACTTGTTGTGGCTGAGGGGTTGAGCGCTAATCTGACAATCAGGGGGTCCGTGGTTCAATCCCAGCACCTGCATTCAACATGCCAAAGTGTCTTTGAACCCCAACATGCTCCTGTATGCATCTCTACGATAATGAAATCAGTCACTTTGGAATAAACGTGATTTCCTTTGAGCAAAACAATAAATCCACACCAGTTCTATGACAACCGCTATGATAATTAGGGCACAAAGAAAAGTATTCCACTGTATTAAAAAATGAAAACACAATGCTTACAATAAAGCAATGGTATAACAGATGGGCTATGGGTTGTTCCTTGCTCTTTGAGCCACATGTATAATTAATCATCTGATTTATAGTGTGCTCTACCCTAAAGAGAATAAGTGGTTGTAATTTAAATGAACCAACAAAAAAGTGTTGATATTGTTTTTAGCTTTTCCCCTGAAACAAACAATTGATACAAATAAATAAAAGTGTGTGCAGCTTAAGTTTTGATAATTTCTCTTCTCTGTAATATCTGAGATGGCAATGGCTCTCTGTTTTATTATCAATATTTTTTAACAACCACAGAAGACGCTTTAAAGGCTGCAACTGCCCCCTGGGCTGCACTTTTAATATAACTGACCAAAGGCCTCTTTTATTTAGTCCAAACAGCACATTAAGTGATAGACATAAGGGGGAGCTGTAAAGCTTTTTTGAAGAAGCCATTAGGAAAATTACTGTATTAATAACTTGCAGATATACAAAAACATTATAATACTTATATTTAATTTTATGCTTGATAGTAAAACAAGAACATGATTTACCTTTGCCATCTTGATGCCTCTTATGATGGGTCTGGTTATTTCCTTGCACTTTTTTTTTAATTGAATTATAGATAATAGATAGCCACAATGATAATAATAATAATACACTGTGTTGCAGGAAGATGCATAAGATACAATGTGTATTAATTTGTGATCACTAATATTGGATTTGAGTAGGCTTTTTACTTCTAGGATGTCCTCAATCTATATTACGACACCTCCATCTAGTGTTGAAACGTAAGAACATACATTGACATTTGTCCCGCCCATTTTTTATTCCTATTGGCTAAAGTGAGATTTAACGTCGGGTACGTTCTCTTCCCCATTGGCTCAGCCATGTGTCAGTCAAACCAGATTACGGAAGTGTAGCCCACCCACTACAAAGATGGAGGACGATATCTCAAATTTGAGCAGACCTCAGATGTATTTGTTTGGTAAGCTTGCTTATTCAGGCAAACTTCAATTATTTTTGGTCACACAATAAATATAACTGTCATATTATCATGCACAAGTAGACATGTATCTATTTTTTACAAGAGAAAATAGCTTAAATCCTGCCTTCCCCAACTCGCGCCAATTCAGCTCTTTTGTTAGCTAGTCAAACAAAGCATAGAGAAACAACAGCTTTAGCAAAGAGTAAACATCTGCATGTCAGTTTAGTGTATGCATGTGTGTGTTGTGTTCCATATAAATACAAATATAGCGTTATTTACACATTGCACGTATCGTTTTCTGCAGGTTGTACCCTCAAATCCGACAAACGGGAGTTCAGAGTTGACGTAGACGACGATGATACGGAGCAGCAGCTGTCACTCAAAGCAGTAAGGATGGCTCTTTTATTGACTTTCCTTTGCACGTAGATGTACTGAACAATATGCATGTTAAAGAGGAAACATCACAAGGGTTAGATATATATTATTTAGCAGATTGTTTAGAAAACTTGAGCCACTTTATTGGAATTGGCTATTCACAGGGTTTCATGTTTCCCAGCGTAATGTCCTTTTAATATGCGGATACCTATCAAATTGCTTCACTTCAATGCACTGTGTGTTACCTTGGGTCAACATATTTCAGATACCCATCCATAGCTTACAGCCTGATGATTGTATACCCCTTACACCCACCAACATGTCCTTGTAAGACAGTTTTCCTGATTATAAACATTGATATATCTGCAGTAGCTGAATTGATTTTCAATGTTTGTTTGTTTTTGAAACATCCATTTCCCCTTTTTCTTTTGCATTTTAGACTCCAAAGATATCAATTACAAGTCTATTACATTGTTAGTTAATATGAAGAGACACATTAGCTCAAAATAGAGCTAGACCAACTCAAAACAGAACGAGAGCAACAGAACAACTTCTTATACGTAAATATTTAAATTAGTAGGAAGACGGATGTAAAGGGTGACATGTATTTTAAGGACTTATATTGCATATACATTTTATCTTGGGAACACAGGGATGACCCCATTCTAGACTTATTACCAGTAAAGTATGTAGTGAAGGGGTCACAATTGAAGCAAACTCAAAGTACAATCCTTAGTACTGCTAAGCTACCAGCAGGTATTTCCGAATTGTAGACCCTTAAGGGAGGAACTAATCATCTACAAAAACGTATAAGTGAAAAAATAATGTGAAGGGATATCTGTAGCAACATTATCCGGATGAATCAAACTTGGTGTGTTTCTTTTCCAGGTGTGTCTGGGGGCTGAGGCTGAGGATAAGTTCCACATGGTGGAAGTGGAGGGTCTCACCTATGATGGGAAATCAACCAAAGTCCCACTGGTTGCCCTGAAACCGTCCGTCATGCCCTCTGTGAGTGACAGCATTTAGTGATGTATTTAAGGGACTACACAATATTATATAAGTAAAGAAAAGGCACATATATGAGCAGTATATGGACATTTGAATGTAACATCACAGTAGCTTTAAGCCTCTTTCATGCTTACTGTCCATTGATTTAAGTGACCTGTGATATTTTTGTTAATTTGTTTTATTTGTCCAGATGACTTTAGGAGGATTTGAAATCACGCCTCCAGTCACCTTCCGTCTCCAGTCTGGCTCTGGACCAGTTCACATCAGCGGGCAGCATTTTGTTAGTGAGTATCATGTTTACAGTAATATGCTATTTCCTTTACCTCTTCTAGAATAACAGACATAAAGGAACAAAATATAACTCTGAATACATTTCCCAACATCGTTAAAATTAGGGATGCTCCGATCGCCAATTTTGGAGCCGATCGCCGGAATCAGTACCGGCCGATACCGATCGCCGATCCGATCGAGTAGGCGGGGCCTATGGGGATCTTCCATTTAAAGTGATGTTTAAAACTCAGTTAATGGGGCTCATTCACTGGCGCTTCCACAAACAACAACCAACATAATTATTACATTCAAATGAAGTACATTATTCAAGTTTACATTAACTTTGGATAATAACACGGGAGAAATGAGCGAAGTGCTCTCCTTTCCTCTCCCTCTCTCTCTCTCTCTCTCTCTCTCTTTTCCTCTCTCCCCCTCCCTCTCTCTCTCTCCTCTCTCTCTCTCTCTCTCTCTCTCTCTCTCTCTCTCTCCCTCTCTCTCTCTCCCTCTCTCTCTCTCCTCCTCTCTCCCTCTCCTGACAGCCCGTCAGTATCTCATGCAGCTCACTGATCCAGTAATGAGTGACCCGGCCGACAGTGAATAATAAACATATGTATAACTAGTTTAGCTTGTTCCAGAGGTAGATAAAATAGCTAAGTGTGTTAGGTCTAACTCTTAGTGTGTGTTTCGCTCCGCTCACCGGTCCGTCACAGCGGGTGGAGCTGCAGGATTTCTGCTTCACACACACGTTGCATACCGCTATTTTACTGTCTTTTTCGGACACCTTAAAATACTGCCAGACCGGTGAAGCCATTTTGGCGAGCTTGTTTTGCCGCGCACAGAGAAAAGTGTCATGTATTTTACGTCATGCGATCGGCTCTCGAGAACTCAACCTTTCTCAAAGAATATGTACACTAACACTTGAACCTGAACACACACATGCACGTGTGCAATATGTGGTGTAATGTGTTTTGGGGCCATACAATAACATTACAACAGGATTGTACGGTTATGAATGCATAATAAGTTAGTTATGATCAGAGATGGGGTCGTTACTAAAAAAAAGTAATATATTACATATTACTTTAAAAAAAAGTAATATATTACACTACTTCGTTACTCTCTACATAAAGTAACTCGTTACTTTACTCGTTACTTTACTCGTTACTTTACTCGTTACTTTACTCGTTACTTTACTCGCAGGGCCGGCCCGCCCCTCCCTACAGTCAGATCACGCAGACTGCTAAAGTTTTAAATGTTCTCTTTAGTTCAGTTTCCATTGTCGCATAAGACTGATCCAGATAGCTCTGACTATGGCTGTCCTCTGTCTCCTGCTGTCTGTATTTTGCGCAGTATATCTCTGAACGATGCGATGGTGATTCCACTGTGCAAATGGGCAACATTACCTCTACTATGAAGGATGCTACAAGCCTGTCCATCTCTGCTTTGGTTACCGGTAATTTTTGCTGCTTCGGAGTCGGCGGCGGGCGCACTCACAACATCCTCACTCTGGGTTCGGGGGTCCTTAGCTATTAGCTTCACCTTAGCATGTGTTCTTTGCAGGTGTTTGTTGAGGTTTGACGTGGTGTTTACAGCAGTGGATAACAGCTTCTGGCCTGGACACAGTTTGCACCTCACCGTCACATTCCTGTCTATTCTTCGGACAAACTCAAAATAATGGGCATACCTCCACCCCTCGAAAGTTATCGCTGACTCAGCCATGTTTATGCAGCACTGCACGTGGAAATGTGGACGCGCAGATTACGTACATATAAACCTGCGGCGGAAACCCCTCTTGTCTGTCAGTGTGATTATGACTGATTTTATAAAAGTAACGAAGTAACGCGTGTCGGGGCAATGTTAGTAACTGTAGTGTGATTACTGAATTATAAAAGTAACGCGTTACACTACTCCGTTACCGACAAAAGTAATATTATTTGGTTATGATGTAGTTCAAACAATATTGGATGATAGTCATTTTTTTGTTGTGTTTTGGATTGAGATAAATCGTGGGTCAAAATTGACCCGCGAACACCACGAACGGTAACAGCTTTCGAACACAACACAAGGGTTAAGGAATGAGCTGTCAAACCATTTGGAGAGTTGTGTTGTAGGCTGTTGTGTTTCTTAAAGCATTTTCAAGTATCAAGAATAATTGACCTACATTTGATTGATTTTGCTAACTCACTTTATGAGGCAGTATACCTCTAGTGAGCGGCCCAGCCCTTCCTATGTTTTTCTGTATGTGGCCCTCAGTGAAAAAAGTGTGGACCCCCCTGGCCTAGGTTAATCAGAAAGTATCTCTATGCCGTGCTGTAACCAGTGTTTGCCTCGTAGGTGTGAAGGATTCAGACGATGAAGAAGAGGAGAACAACTCGTCACCTGTGAAGCGGCCTGCAAGCCTGATGTCGGGGAAGAAGCCTCCTTTGGTAGCTACCTCAGTGTGTTTACTTACTGCTTCAACACTCTGGGAAAATGACCCCAAAGAAAAAGATTTAAGTTTAGTCAATCATTTTTAAAACTTTATTTTAAAGGTCCCATGTCATGGCCATTTCTACTGATCATAATTCCATTGTTGAGGTCTACTAGAATACATTTATATTGTTCAACTTTCCAAACTCACATTGGTTTCTCATACAGCATCTCTGTATAGTATGTGTATTCACTCTCTGTCCTAAACGGCTTGTTGGAGCTCCTGCCCCCCCTCCCTCCCTATGAACGAGACACAGCGAAACCCAGCCCGAAACCAGCCCGAGCACACACACACACACACCCGCAGCCTGGCTGTGAGTCTGTGTGCTCACACACAGACTCACAGCCTCGCCGCGTCCTGCCGTCTCAGGCAGCTGAGAAAAGATTGAGTGTGTGTGTGTGAGGAAGTCCAAATGGACCAATCCACGGACTTAACGTAACGGCTCCGGACCAATCCGCGGAGCCGTTACGTTACGTCACTATACCCAAATACGTCACTATACCCAAGAAGTAAACAATGGAAAAAGAGAAATCCCCAACGAGGCGTTCTGGGGCAGCATAGACAGGTCTTTTCTGCGTTAGAGTTTTACTCGCTACAGGGTGTACTTTGAGGGTTTGTGACTCTGCAGACCGTTTACATGCACAAAAACCTTCATGACACACAAGGGGACGGGTAATAACCAGAAAAGCATGACATGGGACCTTTAAAGTTTAGATGATATAAGGATCAAATAATGGCATTGGTGCTATTTCTGCTTGCTGTACGTCTATTCAACAAAAGGGAAAAGTGCATGTTTTCACATTGAGTGAAAGAAACGAGATAAAAAGCTGTCACAATAAGTCAATATTGAGAAGAGGGTTATAGTTACTTAAAGGTTGTTTTTAGGGATGTCCCGATCACCTTTTTTTGCTCCCGATCCGATTCCGATCATTTGATTTTGACAATCTGCCGATACCGATTTTTCCCGATCCGATCTTTATGCAATGCATTAAGAGGAAAAAAAAGGTAACAGATAACGGCTGGTCATCCAACGCGATGAATTCAGCTATCTTGGCTGTTATCTTTTTGGCCTTTTCACTGTTCTGGGGTAGTTTCTCTTTCCTTTTAAAAGTCTCTGAAAGTGTCGGTTGTTTCAGTGCCGTTACCCGAGTGGCCGCTGTGTACTCGTCGTGTTGTTGTTGGTGGTGTTTGTATTAGATTGGTCATGTTGAACGTAGCTCTGTTCTTTCCACCACGCGGAACCTCCGCCTTGCAAACATTGCATCTGGCTGTTACACTGCCTTCGCTTTTAATTTTATAATACTTCCAAACTCCTGACATTTTCTCTGTCCCGACTCCCGAGTCACCAGCTGAACGTAGCCTCTTGTTAGCTTACTGCTACTATTAGACACTGCGCCCACTCTGTTGCCAGATTTGAGAGAAATAAGCAACCAGGTCTATGAAAACAAGCCCAAAAGAAGCAACACATACATGATGTTGTGTAATTTTAACCCAAAACTAAGGCCTCAGGATGACTTTAAGACGTGAACATGGTCATTTTTGTTTTGTAACATTAAATAAAATGTATAAAAATATTTTATAAAAAAAAAAAAAAAAAAAAAAAAAAAAATCCGATCCCCGATTTTTTTCTCCCGATCCCCGATCACGTGATCGGATCGGGACATCCCTAGTTGTTTTGTGCAAAACTGTTATTATTTTCAAGATGATGGAATTATTATTTCTGCTTGTAGAAAAAACTGAAGATGGATTCGGACGACGATGACGACAGCGACGATGACGAGTATGTTTTATGCTTAATTTCACTGTGTATGTCTATTTCTCTTTGTTTGTGCAGAGACAACTTGGATTGTTTTTCACCTTTTATATTTTCCTTATCTTTAGTGAAGACGATGACAGCGATGAAAATGATGTGACGCCTCAAAAGAATGTTGGAAAAGAGCTCAAAAAAGTAAGCTAATCTATTTTTTGTGTTTAATAAAAAAAGCTGTGATACGCAACATTTGGTATCATGTCAAGAAAGCCTATCTGAATAAAATGAGTCTGAATTAAAGCCCCTTTTCAGTTACTTCTTTATCACGATCATCATGTTTGTACACAATAGGAAATTTTTCTTTTGGGATACAGAATAGAAGAGAATTGGGAGGGATGAAACCCTCGTTAATGGTCACACATGCAGAGCACACAGCACACACAGTGAAATGTGTTCTCTGCATTTAACCCATCTTAGTACTAGGGGTGTTTCTCAATGTCGAGTACGCTTGCTTGGTAGCACATGTCTTCTGAGCGTCTTGCTTCAGAAGCGAGGCAAGAATACTTCCTGGCATTCGGAAAACGAAGAGTGGAACAGGCGAGCAAGTGTGCGTCATATGAGAGGCCCCGCCTTACATTTTCCGCCACAGATTTAGGTATATTGGTCCGTGCGCAAAGCATTGTGGGGATTTTAAGACCGCGGAGTCCACACTCTAAATTTCTCCAAACGAAGTACGCCGGGCTCGGTAGAATTCCAAGTATGCTGGACATTGGTACAGTCCTTCGGCGGCACTCGATGACGTAGTATGCTTGAAATAGTGGCTCTGGAGCAGCCTTCCTCGAGATTGAGAAACTAGGAGTCTAGTACTAGGAGCAGTGGGCAGCTATTGTACAGCGCCCGGGGAGCAATGGGAATGAGGGGGGAAGGGGGGTGTCCGGTGCCTTGCTCAAGGGCACCACAGCAGGGCAGGAGGTGAACTGAGACCTCTCCAAGTAGCAGTCCACACTCCATATTTTAGGTCTGGTCGGGGACTTGAACCGGCGACCCTACAGCTCCCAGTCCAAGCCCCTACTGGCTGAGCCACTGCCGGATGTTGTGTTATTTCAGAGAGTCCAGACTATGAGTGGGAGTAGCAATACAATTCAAATAAAATACAAAAGGCACGTAACAGGGTATAGACAACACCAAATAATTCAAAGAGAATTGTTTGAATAAAGTCAAATAGACTTGAATGAAATTCGTTTTTTGTGATTTTTTTTTTTCTTTTCTTACCTTTTTAAGATTATGAAGAAAGAAATCTCTCCTTTTTATAATATTTTGAAATGTTTGGGGACTCATCACTGTTAAAACCAAACTAAATGTCTTTTTCAGGTCACCAAACTTTTATTATTACACTAGAATAATCCTACTTAGTGTTTCCAGTCCCCTGCTGTCCACCAGGTGTCAGGGCGCTCCTTCAGTTTTGTTTTTGTGGTAAAGGAATTCCTCCACCCGGCCCGCTCCCCTTTTTTGTTTCTACCAACATCACTTAAACTCCCACAGACTGAATCCTATAGTGGCATTTCGTTTCAGGCCCTTCCCATCCGTGCACTCACTGACCGTCCACCTCTCCGTACGAGACACAACATGGAACTTTTTCATCCTGTTCCCTCATGTACCCACCTGTTTTCCACGAGTAAAACACAGGGTCTGTGTGGCGTAATGATCGGATTTCTTCTCTGTAATCTGCTTAAATTCTCACCGTCTCACCAACAAGACGGCACTATGTTATCCTATTCACACACACGCACACACATGCATGCAAACACACTCAAAAGTATATATACTGTCGGCATGCACACTTACTGTAAATCTAAGTACAAATGCAAACATTATTAAAACATATCTACAGTATTTATGCAGGGAAGCACACACACAAACACACACAAACACACACACAAACACACACACAAACACACACACAAACAGACACACAGACACACAGACACACAGACACACAAACCAGTTATGGGAAACATCTTCCCCCATTTTTTTCAGTCCCTCTGCATATCTTTGTCCCTCTGTCATCCCACTGTTAATATGATTGCTTCTTTTTATCGTCTCATGCCATTTCAGCTTTGCACCTGGCCTTTGCCTTTGAACACTTGTTTTGCGTGTTACCACAACTGTTTGCAAGTGTGTGGGTGCATGTGTGTATCGGCCTCGTTTTTTTACCTCGGTGTCTGTTTGTGATTTCTTTTTTGTGCAAACTGTGCCAGCCAAAAAAGATCAAAGCGGGGCAGATGCGCATACCTGCGACGTGAGCGCGATCCTCGCCTCAGGGTCAGATGACAGCTGAGCATTTCTGTCACCTGTTGATTTATTCTGTTGTCTTCTCCTCCGATACATCCACCTCCATGACCTTAATCCTTTCCTTTACCCTCCTTCTCGTTAGCTCCATAGTTAACCTGTCTCAGTCTTTACTAATGGAAGCACTAAACTATAGAAAGTTGGGCTGGGAAGATCTTTTTACAGTTATTTCAGTAACATATTTTATTTAATCTTTTCTTGTTTTAACAAACTTCATTACTGTTTTTTACGAAAGAGGATTGTTGCCTCATGTGACATTTTCATTGACAAGTGATTTTTTTACGAGTTCTTACTTTAAAGTCCGAATTCTGAAATTTTCTGAAAAGATAATTAAATACTTTTTCCCAGAATTCTAACTTTAATCAAAAAAACATTTACTGTAAACATTGATATTTCACAGTGTCCTTTTAAAAAATGTCCATAGAGTTTTTTATGGACAGTTGGCATCACAGTCGTCCAAGTTTAAATCTGATTTCTTTGATCAGATATATTTGATCCAAACAGGACTCAGCTGAAGTCTTCCTGTGTTTTTCCTCGCATGGTTTTGATGTTTTGTAAAGTTGAATACTTTTTTGTTCTGGTTGGACCACATTGTGTTAAAATTGAATAGCCTGAGGTGTATGGTGCCTTGTATTTAGATGTCTGAGTTGCAATTTGACAGCTTTGCCATGACAAGTAAATCTGACATTATTATTTGAGACAATTATCATAATTTGTGCGAGTGTTGGCACTGAGAACACAACAGAAAAAGAGGATGTCACTTCAGGGCCCCAGCCTATAAGTCTTGTATAGCATTACAAAGATGAATCCAAACAAAAGGCCTCCATTGGTATTAACATGTCTTAAAGTGGACCTATCATGCTATATTTGAATAATATAGTGTAGGGCCATACCTATATAAGGCATATTTATACTTTTTCTTTTTCAAAATACCAAACAGATCATGCATTTTAGCCATGCCTCATTTTGCTCAATTTGACAATTTTTAGCTCTGTTTTAGCAAGGGCTGATTCAGTGAGAACAGCACCATCTACTGGCCTGGCATATGTATTACAGCGTCTCCAGCGCTTTTGAACGGCAATGGCCGTGGCTGTCTCCTCCTGATTGGTGGAGTTGGCCCAATAGCTGTAGCGCCACCGTCCTGACGTCAGGACAGTGTTCAAATCTGGATCAGTTTTTATCAGATCCGTTGCAGCCCCTTTTTTAGAGATTTGGGTATGGAGGAAAATAGAGAGGGTTGTGTTTTCTGACACTTGGTGAGTTCCCTGGAACACCGGGGACACATATTCATGTATAAAAGACGTACAAAAGTGCATTTTGCATGATAGGTCCCCTTTAAATCAATCATTCAAAAGTTTTAAAAATCATTAGACACAGGGAGTCAAATTGTATTAATCATTTTTTTACCTTTGACATGATTGTTGTCTGTCCTTTGTGTTTAAATATGAAAAAAAAGCGTTGCAACCACCCTGAAACTGCCTCACAGCATCTTGTATTACCAGGCATTGCTCGAGGAAATAACATGTGTAATTGCCTTGTAGCAGTTATGTCAACACAGGCAATTACACAGCTAGCCCATTCCAAGGAGAGGGTTGGTGCTCGGTAAATGCAGGTACTTGCCTCGGCTATTACAAGGTAATTACACAGGTGACTGAGAGCAATGGAAACCTGACAGGAAGGCCTCCAGTGTGGAGAGCAACAATGATAAGTTATCGGGGGACCAGTGTCCGATCAGTGACAAATTACTGAGTGTTTCTAGTGCTTCGTAAGCCATTTCATCAACAATGCTGGGAGATGATTTCAGTTTCATTCCATATCAAGTCAACTTTGGTTGTCAGTTTTAATGGACACACTTTTTTTTCACAATAACTTCTTAACATTGGAACTGCCACTACTCCTTTAGCCTTTAGTGTGACATTGTGTTGTTTTGTGGTTGTTGTAGAATATATGCTTTTGTGCACATGGGTAAAACGGCTTTTAACATTAGCCAGCATGTGCAGCATTGAAATGATTACAATCTAAAATGGTTGAGTGAAAATGACATGAACAGCTCATGGCAATCGAGTCAAGAAAATTAACCACAATTGCAAACACTTCTACAAATGTGGTTCCCGTTATGTTACAAGCTGATTATATTTTGTCAGCTGTAAAAGAGGCTTGGCAATCAGACCTGTGATATGGGAGTTTTCAAAACAACATGACACGACTACCAGAGCACCAAATGTATTTTAATACATGAAATAATATATTAGGAGAAAACTGTGGGAAGAAACCACTGTCACAGCTTGAAACAAAACAACAGGGATATGATGGATATAGATATTATTAAATACTGTAATTGGCCAGCAATCTGACCTGAAGTACCTCAGTGTTTGTAAGTTAGTTCAAAGTTAGTCAGCATACTTTTTTATAGAGGGTTAGTTAAATGAACAGCTGCTTTGATGATTTCCTCCTGCTGTCATGTCACGTTCAATTTTCTGTGAATAACTAAGCATACATTTTTTTATATATTTAATTATATTTATTTTTATGAGCTTTTCATTAAAGCAAAATGGTGAATTCAGCTGTTTCCTCAAAATATAATGATGTCATACTGGTGATATTGAATTTCTATATTTGTTGTGTTTCTTTTACTTTTTTCAGAGTCCAGGGTTTTCAGCAAAGAAGCCCAACAAGACTCCGGTGAAACAAAACGGCCCCTCAGGAAAACCATCAGGATCAGGGATCAAACCTCAAGTTAAGGTAGGAAAAGCATCTTTGTTTCCTCGTTGTTATTTAGTTTATTTATCAAATCAAATCAAAGTTTATTTATAAAGCACATTTAAAAGCGATTTTTGGTCGGGCCAAAGTGCTGTACATGTAATAAATACTACAATCACATAAAAACACAATACTACAATCACAATAAAAGACAATAAATTACAACAGATATATAAAAAACACAGGGAAAAGTCAGGAGTCGTGCTCCGCTCTAACTAAAAGGCCAGGGAGAAGAAGTGTGACATTAAAGTTGTCATTTAGTTGACAGCCATTAAACTGTAGAGCAAGGGTCAGCTATTGTGGTCAACTAATGGCGCATTTCCACTACAGCGCGGTTTAAGCGTGCCGTGCCGTGCCCGGCCCTTATTTGGTTGCGTTTCCACTAGGCGTAGTTCCGGCTAGCGGGTACTTTTTCACAGTTTTTCTGGCTCTCCAAAATCGAGGTTCTTTCCGGGCCAACAACCGGGCTGAGTATGCTAAACTAGTGAGAGAATCGCTGGCAACTACAACGAAATGAACATATTTGACCGTAATTTAATTGTAATACACGTTTCAAAATGATGCCGAAGTAACAACATACTGATACCGGTTAGTAAAAACCTTGAATTAATGCTTTGACAAGTCTGCAGACAGACGGCAGGCGAAAACCTTTTAAAATGCGTGGTTGCTGAATGGAGATCGGCTAAGCTAACGTTGTATATGCTCCGACCGTCCACACTCACAACAACGGCCTATACAGACATAAATAAACCAGCGACTGTATTCGCCATGACACAGGCAGTCTGTGGTTTGTACTTGTTTAACTTTTGTCTAGTTTCTGAACAGATATGAGGAGCTGTGAGCTCTGAGGGCTAACAGCTAACGGCTGATGTTGGTTTTGTGTTTCTCATTGAAGATGACATCACGGCTCCGCCTACACTGCGTTACTATAGTTACTACCCCAGTTCCTAAACTGTAATGGAAACGCAGCATAAAGTGAGCCTGGCCTACCAAGGCCTAGCTATACCGTACTAAGCCGTGCGAGGCCCTGCAGTGGAAATGCGCCATAAGAGCCAGGTTTCTCAGCAACACAGGTCTACAGGTGCAGTGAAGTTGGTCTTCAAATTAAAACAAAAATAATGTGACATAAAACCAATTAGAGATAGCTAGGGCTGCAACTAACAATTCATTTGATTCTGGATCTGCCGATTAACTTCTAGATTAATTAATTAATCATTTAGTCGATGAAATGTTAAAGAAATGTGGATCATGTCCATCCCACCCCAAGGTGAAGTCTTTAAATGTGTTGTCATTCCAAAACCCAAATATATTCAGTTCAATATATTATATAAATCAGAGACAACAGGAACTCTGCATTTTAGCATTTAAACTAACTTTAACTGTTTTTAGATGAACAGCATATTTGGCAATCATTGAATCATCGATTTTGGTAATTTGAGAAACAGCTTTTAGAGACGTATATGTTGTTACATATATATATGTGATCACAACTCCCCAGAAAGAAAAGCAGTAAAGAGCATGACATGGAAAACCTTGTACTTCTTTGTGAACAGATGTGAAACTCCCACTTTTAACAGGATTTAAACCAGGGATGTCCAAACTACGGCCTGGGGGCCAAATGCGGCCCGTGGCCCACTTTGAATTGGCCCACAGCTAATTCTAAAAGTATAATGTAATACGGCTCACACCAGAAACTTTTGCTTGTCTTATATTGGACTTCTTAATTATAAGTATATACAAATATACTGCACAGCTGTATTCATGTGTTAATTCACGTGTTAACCCTAACCCTAAGCCCTAAACCCAACTTTCTAATAAAAAGTTTGGACACTCCTGATTTAAACATTAAGGTATGGAAGCAAACAAGAGACAGAAGTATTTGAATTTTATCAGACACCAAATTAATAGCATTGAAAATAATTACTTTGAAAATCATGTATCTGAATTATTTTGCTCCGAATTTACCTATGTGAAATAAAAATGTAACAATTCAAGTTAAAACAATTAAATTGCTTATCCTGTCTCTGGGTAGCCCGGATGATGCTGCATCGAAATGTTTGACGTCGAATTTTAAACACCGAAATTGTCCATTCAAATGTTTTTAACTTGAATTGTTACATTTTTATTTCACATAGGTAAATTCGGAGCAAAAAAATTCAGATACATGATTTTCAAAGTAATTATTTTCAATGCTATAAATTCGGTGTCTGATAAAATTCAAATACTTCTGTCTCTTGTTTGCTTCCTGCCTGCCTTTAGTGCACCTATTTAAGTCAAAATGAAACCTTAAAAAAACGTTTTTGTGTGTTTTTTTTAAATACAAATAATTCTAAAAGAGAAAAGGTGTCTTCGACCTAGGATAATAGTTTGCACTTTTTGGCTTTCACAATTTAAATATACCAAAGAAAACTTGGAGAGCCTTCCCATTCCAGAGGCGAGGAATGTGATAAATGCTCATCGCAATTATCTCAACCTGATAGTTGATTTCTCCGATGGAATGTGTTGGACAGCCGCCTCTCAAAACCCACAGCTTGAACTCTGGCTCTCTTTAAGCAAACACACCTGACCTCTAACGGGTTTCCTGGGGGCGAGGTTTAAACCCGCGACCCCTCGACCTGACCCCGCCAGATAGAGTTGCGGCCAGCTTTGATGCCCCCCCCCCCCCACCCCCCCGACTCCCCAAAGCTCCCACACACACAAGGGAATACAAATTGGAAAGATCCTTTGCAAGTTTACAAATTTCACAAGGCGTGAAACTGTGATAAAAGACGACTTTGATAGAGACTCTGTTTGGATAAGGCATTATGTGTCGGCAAGGTTTATTGCCAAGTAGGTTTACACTTACAAGGAATCTGCTTTGGTGTATATAACTATGCATAGATACACATAATGAAAGGAATGTGGTTATAAAGATAGGAGCAAATAAAGAAGATTTTAAGTACTAAAAAAAAGAAAATCACACATATTTGGCGATAAAATATATACTAGTGTACCAGCCTTTCAAGACAGCTGTGCAATTTTTATAGGTAGCAATAAACGGTAATGGGCAAAATACAGTAGAATTGGCAAGGTTCACAGTATTTTGTAAAAGGAATGGCTCGCATGATAATGCGCTAATGTAACGCACTGTGCCTGTAAATGGAGCCTGCTACATACGCTGAAAGCACAACATCTCACACACTCGCAAACCTCGTGGTCATTGTGAGCAAATCTTATTTTAAAACTGTGAATCCTGCACACTCCTCTGAACATTTTGCACATTTCTGTTCAACTCCGCCTCTTTTTAAAATCTGCTCAGCTCTCCACTTTAAAGCGGACCTATCATGCAAAATGCACTTTTTGATGTCTTTTATACATAAATATGTGTCCCCGGTGTGTCAGGGAACTCACTAAGTGTCAGAAAACAAAACCCTCTCTCTTTTCCTCCGTACCCAAATCTGTAAAAACGGGGGAACAACGGAGCTGATCCAGTCCATGTCTAAAATGCATGATCTGTTTGGTATTTTGAGCAAAACACATCATAGATATATATTTGTATATATCTTGAGACCCATAATATAAGCCTGAAAATAGCATAATAGGACACCTTTAAATTCTAGTATTCTGTTATATTTCTACTATAGTTGTACAATGTACACTTATGATATTCCTTGCATTTGTAAACCTACAATAAACCTCATTCTGATTCTGAATGATTTGTTTCTTTTCGGACGGTTTTGAAGAAACACTTTATTTTTTTATGATTTTAAACACTGAGCCACTGGATTTCTGAATTCCTGAGGCAGGAGAGTGTTTCCCCCTCAGGCCAGAGTCCTCGCTGAGTGGGGGCTAATTCTGTAGTGGCCGTTGTCCAGACATAACACGGTGGCTCTTGAAATGCTCTTGGGGATTAGCCGATCGGCAGCTAAACTGCTGAAACCATCCCAGCCAGTTTAACTCTCTGGAGCTCTGAAAAGCCCCCGTCCCCTCTCCTCTCCACTTCCACACAACAACTGTTCCCTCTCTACAACCCATTCACACCCCTTACTTCCTGGACACACCTTCTCCCAATTGCTCCCATTACCAGCGTTTGATGTCTGGTGCAGCTTGCGCTTCCAGATGCCCCTGAGCAGCGAGGAAGCGGGCGTGTGCGTCTGTTTTTTCTTTTTCTAAACGCAGGTGACTGGTCATTAGATTGGCTTGTCAGATCTGTTGCCAGTTGCCGCAGTTCTCACCTCTCGCAGCCCAGCGTGAAGCTGCACCTTCTTGTGTAACAGGCTCGACATGAGAACCAGATAACTAGAGATGTGCCGATCCAAAGTCACTTTATCTCGCAGCTGGTGTGTTGTGATTGATGGGTTTTCAGAGACGCTGATGCCTTCGAGCACACGTCACAGTCGTAAAACTATATACCACTTCACTCAGGCTTATCCCAAAAGGGTGTGAGTCATTGTTTTAGCGACTGATTGACATGTGTTACAGCAGGTGCCTGCCTTGTTAGTGTTAGTTACTTTCCCGTGAGTGTAAGCTTGTTGGCTTCTAACAATTAATCTCCTGAATTGAACTGGGAAACATCCCAAAAACTCACATGTGCAATTTATAGGTCTAAAGTCACAGTTTCCATTGAGCTGATATGTTCCCAGACGAGGGCCTCTGAACGCTCTCATTCCAACAAAATGACATCCGTGGACAGACCTGATGAGCAAAGGTGTCCCACCATGTGTTTGCACTGGATTGAAGACAAGACATCAAATGATAGTGTGCTTGTGATTAAGTTCTCGTGGCATCTGTAATCATTGTCTGGGTCCAGATGAAAAAGCTGTGTTGTGTGTTTATCAGCTGTTTCAGGTCCACAGCTGTCCCTTGGAAGTAGAGAGCTTCCCATAAATAATAAATACGTAGTACATTTGTTTGGCCCGGAGCCAGCAACATATGTGCCCTTTTTTTTCTTTCGGAGTGTGGTATGTGTGCGTCAGGGTTTTCTTCACTTTATACCTTTTGATCTGTGCTATAAAACGCAGATCTCTTGGGGACAGGGACAGATGATTGCATTTTTCAAACGAGAGAGAGAGAATTTTTATTTTCTCCAGATGATTCCACCTGCTTTTAACTGTTGCAAGTCTTACTGCAGGTTTTTACAGCCTGACGTTGCTAAAGGGGTTTGAAGTAGTTACACATGACATTTGTTGCTTGCTTTTATCAAAACAAGCTCAAGGAGGAGATTGTTAAGAAACCAGCTTTCTTACCTATACCTATAGCACTTCAAGCTGTATCCAACTTTTAAGAAAGATCTGTCTCTATGGCAGCCTAAAAGTGTTTGCTTGCAACTTGATGTATAATAATAACATGAGAGTTATTGAAACAAGTAGAAGAAACCTGGATTCAAATCCAATGCATGCTTTTTTTCCAGTAGGAATGGAGATCTTTACCCTTATGGTCTATGCTAGTGTAGAATAATAAATATTTGTATTAGTATAGCACCTTTTCATGCAAGGACGCAGCCCAAAGTGCTTAATAGAACACGCAGAAAAACCCGACAACAATATTATAATAAGAAAAGAAAAAAACGTGTTCAAATGCAATAAAACATGAACAATGATACCTGTTAAATGTTCCTGAATTAAAAGCCATAACAATATAATAAAAAAGCAAAACAAAACAGAAAGAGGTTGATTACAATACAAACGAAAACATGATATCAGTAAAATGTTAAAGTGGACCTATCATGCTATATTTGAATAATATAGTGTAGGACCATACCTATATAAGGCATATTTATACTTTTTATTTTTTTTTAAATACCAAACATCATGCATTTTAGCCATGCCTCATTTTGCTCAATTTGACAATTTCTAGCTCTGTTTTTGCAAGGGCAGATTCAGTGAGAACAGCACCATCTACTGGCCTGGCATATGTACTACAGCGTCTCCAGCGCTTTCGAACGGCAATGGCCGTGGCTGTCTCCTCCTGATTGGTGGAGTTGGCCCAATAGCCGTAGCGCCACCGTCCTGATGTCAGGACAGTGTTCAAATCTGGATCAGTTTTTATCAGATCCGTTGCAGCCCCTTTTTTAGAGATTTGGGTATGGAGGAAAATAGAGAGGGTTGTGTTTTCTGACACTTGGTGAGTTCCCTGGAACACCGGGGACACATATTCATGTATAAAAGACGTACACAAGTGCATTTTGCATGATAGGTCCACTTTAAGTTAACAAAAAAAAAAATGCTTAGATAGTTTTCTGTTCTAAGATCTACGGGGAAAATAAATTGTTCTGAAGTAGAAACAAATGATTAAAGTAGAGTCCATTTGCTGGTGAGCTTTTACTGTATTTCTCTGCCTCGCAGGCTCAAAGGTTTCTTTATACACGGCACCTCTTCTCTCTGAAATGTGTGTCTGGCTATCAATGAAACCCTGCAATTTCACTGGATTCCACTCTGGCTTTACATGTAGAGACAGGCTCTGTGTCTTGTGTAACATGCAGTCACGATGTATGGCGTGTGTGTGTGTGTGTGTTGTTGTTGTGTCATATTCAGACACTTCCTAATTGAGGACCTCTGGGGCCTCGGCTCTGAACACACCTGTGGCCCCGATTGTTCATGTAGCTCTCTAAATTGTGGCCCTTTTTTACATGATATCCTGTATTTTGATCAATCAGATCAACATGCAAGTCATAGCAGTATCATAATGTGTTTTAAGTGACCACTGTTTAAACTAAGGCCTTTGCTACACTTACAACATATGTGTATTTATGGGCTTTCCATGTACTTAAAGGGGCCCTATTCTGCTCATTGTCAGGTTCATATCAGTATGTAGTGCTCATACTGCCTGTGCTGCAGCACCTCGTTTCACCCTCTGTCTGAAACCAGAGCCCAGTCTGCTTTGATTGGTTAGCTGGCTGGCTCTGTTGTCAACCGCTTAGAGATGTTCCGCCCCTTATCCAATCACATGCAAGGTGTTGGAGCGCTAGCCAATAGAAGCGTGAGTGTTGCGTAGTGATGTCATTATGTCCAAGCTATAAATCAACGACTTTCATATTACATTACATTTAGCTGTCGCTTTTATCCAAAGCGACTTACAATAAGTGCATTCGACCAAGAAGATACAAACTAGAAGAAAACAGAATCATATAAGTACATCAGGTTTCATAGAGCCAAAACATTTCAAGTGCTACTCAACTGGCTTTAGATAAGCCAGTGCTTTGTTAGTATATAAGTGCTTTGTTAGTAATTGTATTGCTCGAAGTGGAGTCGAAAGAGATGGGTTTTTAGTCTGCGCCGGAAGATGTGTAAGCTTTCTGCTGTCCTAATGTCATTAGGCGCGTTCACACCAAGTACTTTGCCGTATTTAGTGCCGGCACTCAGTGCCCCGGCACTTATTACCCCAGGGCATTTAGTATAGATCGCGTTCACACCGGAGTACTTTTCCCTGAGGGAAGATTACGCAAATGAGCCGCTGACGTCACTTCGTCTTCTTCTGCTTTGGGTTTACTGGCAGGCCGCAAACAACTTCACGGCGTATACTGCCACCCGAAGTCCCCGGCCGGAAGTCCCCGGAGTTGGGGACTGGCTTCAGTAGAAGCTGCTGGGACTCCCAGCAGCTTCTACTGAAGCCTTCAGAGTAAATCGCCAGAACGCCGACACCTCCTCATCTCCACCGCTCCCATGTTTTATTTTGTGTTGCCATAAGTTAGTCTCTCTGCGTTTGTGCACTGGGCTAATGCTAATGCTAATAATGCTAATGCCAGGATAATAAAATGGCGGCTCTACAAAACATTTCAGAGTTGTACGGGGCGTGGTTTGCAATTCGCCCAGCCCATCAGAACTGGGGCACTTTTTTCCCCCAGGAAAGTACCATCTCTCAGCAGGCACTAAACATGGGGGTAAAAGTTTTCTGAACTAAGTTCTCTTTTTGGTGTGAACGCGACATAAGGGGTACTAACGGAACTAAACGCGAAAAGTCCGGTGAAAAGTACTCCGGTGTGAACGCGGCTAATGGGGAGCTCATTCCACCATTTTGGAGCCAGGATAGCAAACCGACGTGTTTTTGCTGATGGGAGCATCATATAAATCAACGACTCAGGCAAGGATGGAGTTTTTCGGAGAGAAACTCCCTCTGGAGCATTTGCAGACCATTGACATGCACATACATATATAACACACTACAGGAAAGGGAACACCCCCAAAAGCATAACAGGACCCCTTTAAATGGTGGTTTTTTGTCTTGTGTTTTTTGTCTTGACCATTCAGAAATGTTTACAAGAGGAAACAAAGTGTTATCTTTTCTTGTGGAAGTCATTAATTTTATGTCCGAAAAAAACACATTATAAGTTTCACTTCATTTCCTTTGGTTCGGTCGTTAGGATTTGACATCAAGGGCAAAAAACACATTTGACAAACAATCTGTATTACTCATTGGAGTGTAAGGGCTTGCCCTCTCCTGCTTGCAAACAATAAAAAACATAATTTGTACCTGATGTATTTGTAAAGAAAAGATGGTGTAATTGGGCTAGCATTTGTCCTTTCTGGTGCTTTTATCTCCGTCCAGCTGGTGTCTCACGCCAAGCCTGTAAACACAGACCCAGACAGAGCGGGTCACGATACGGCTGCCTGTCGGTCAGCAAGTGGATCTATCACTAACAAGTTGTGTGTTGAGTTCAAACATGAGCACAGAAAGATACAGGGTAGAGCTGAACCTGAGTAAAACAAGACATATTGCGGCCTTAAATGAAGTTATCTCTTCATCTACAACTCTTTAAATCTCTCTCTATTTGACACTTGGATCAGTTCTTCTTATCTAGTTGTTTTATTTTCAAAGACACCTGCCCCAGGAAAAGACAAACCCCAGGCTGGCCCGTCTAAATCTCCCTCTCTGACTGAGATTAAGAGCAAGTTGTCAACCGCCGCCAAGGAGGTAAGGCTGTCATCTTCTTTTTTTGCAAATGACCTCTCTTAATTGAATGTGTGACGCAAGGCTAAGCTGATGATTTAATGGCCCTTTGTCCATCAGGGGAAACCACTACCGAAGACCGAGCAGAAGTTTGAAAATTACTTGAAGAGTTGTTTTAAAATCGCAGACCAAAAGGTAAGTAATCACGAGATGTATTTTGTATACTATATAGTTATTGATTGCACATGGTTTGGAGAGCCCTGATTACGAGGCATCTGAGACTGGTCTTTGTTTAATTCTAAGACCTATGTTTTAACTTGTATACCTCTTGCATCATAAGTCTCATAACCGTCAGGAGTTTGGTTTGAAGCCACGCTCACATTTATATCAACCTTCGTCCCAAGTTTTAAGAGCTTTTTGCCTTGATAGATGCCCAGGAATGCATCATGGTTCCTCACACTGTCCTCATACTGTCCACTTTGCCCCAAATGTCTCCGCAGCACAGCGTGTTCTCTTTGAATTATATTCATTTTGTGTCAGCGGGCTCTCTTGAGATGGAATGGGAGTACACCTGCCAGGGCAAACTCTTTCTCCGTGATTTACTGGCGTGTGTGTGTGTCTTGTGTAGCCTTAATGAAGGGACTGGCGGTATGTGGATGGTACCAGTCTCTTTCACATTCAAGGCCTTTTGACCAACCCGACCAAAAGGTTTTTTTTTTTTCTTTAATGCAGGACTTAAATCTTTTCTAATGCTGCTTGTCATTTCAGAACAAAAACAAGAGCCCCCTGCACTTTGTTTTGCAGAGCATGGATGAATCACCCTTTAGATTATCTCCACAAATTCTGTAATTCAAGGCCGTGTGTCGGATAACAAAGCTGTGTTTTCTGCATCAAAACATCTGCAGGAAGGCAACCACTGCAAAACATGAATGTGTGTATAACAATGTACAGTTATGAGAGCAGGTGAAAGCTCTTTAGTGCGGCACGAGGGCTGGGTGGACAGGGGAAAGAGTGGGGGTGTGGTGGGGGCTTGTTGATCCCAGTGTGTAGAAACATCTGTGGAAGTGCTTTGGTTTCATCAGCCAAGCCTGAGATCTGTCAGACCTGGAGCACCTAGTCATATACTCTGGTATGTTACTGTTGCCCCCACCCAACCCCTCGTCGTTCCCCGGCTAAACTCAGCGTTCCCACAGGCGAGACGCACAGAAATCATGCTGTAGTCAAAGTGAGTCATGACTCTAATGCGCTGTAGCACTTCATTTGGACGATTTATCATTTATTTTCTATTCTGCTTTTACCCCTCCCCTCCCCCTCCCCTTTTCTCTATATCTTCCTCAGGTGGTCAAGGACCTTTGGAGTTTTGTAAAAACACTGAAGATTGAAAAGAAGTAACAAACGTTGTTCTCTTGAAGCATTTGTATGTGTTGCCTCCTGCAAGACATTTAAAGGCACAGTCTGCGACATTTCCTCTTCGGCCTTATTAAGTGTTACTGAAAAAGGGGTAACGCCGTTTGTGATTCAGGGGTCATTTCCAGTAGTTTAGATGTGAAGCACCTTTTTGGAGCTAGTTCATAACTCACAAACTCGCTCATTCATGTTTATCAGACAAGCTGTCCACTTCATCGCAATCTGCACCACCTATAGGCAAGGAAAGGAACTGCACACGCCTTTTTAAAGAAGTGGCACGTGAATGTTGCTCAACATGCTGCAATTATTCATATTTGCGCCGCCTGCATGTAATAACTGTTGCACATGCATGATTTTATTAATGCAATAAATAACAACGTCATTCAGAGCCAAAGATCAAATCTGGTCAACTAGGTCATTTGTTCAGGCACTTGTTCACCAAACAGAATATCTCTAACCAAAAGGAGCGGCCAAAGACATCGAATCTGATGCTTTTGCACCTAGATGCAGCAACGATTGTCGATGTGCAGCTATAGAAATGAAAGCGATTACACAAAGTGAAACTGTCAAACTACACAGGCTGTTCCTTTCCTTTCCTTTCCTGTAGAAAGTGAGATGACGTCATATTTCTTCATGTATAGAGGACGCATGTTGCAGACTGCTTCTGCTGCTGCTTTCAGGTGCTTTGCGTCCATGACACTTGTTAAGTGTGTCCTTGTTGTTAAGTCAACAATGCAATAGGAGATATTGCAGAATGTGCCTTTAAATATCTGTACTGTTAACTGAGATACATCAGAGTCAGATTAAATGGGAATTAAAGCAGCAGTATACACAAGGATGGTCAAGACAGCTGATGCAGAGGGACTGACGATGTTTGACTTTTTAAAGTGTTTTGTTATCTTAGCTTCTGTCAGGCTTAAAGAAACACATTTAGCTTGCAAAACGTGCTTGAAGATTGTATTTTTCATTTGTGCGGTATAATTGCTTTATACATATTGTTTTAAAACATGTATTGGAGTAAGATGAGTCCATTTTATTTTTAAATTGTCTTATAGTTTGGTCATTACTGCAGCTAAACACGCATTAACGTTTTTTTACACCACCAAGGGGTTACCTATTTCTTTCCTGCAGCGAAGATTTACTGTTTAAAATCATTTCACTGAATCTCAATATCAAACCTTAAGATTCATATACATTAATGAATGTGTACTTTACTAGTGTTACATATATTATCACGTTAATCTGTTCAGTAAACAAGAAATAGTTTATTTGTGTTTTTACGGAGACATTTCTGGATGAGGGTCTGTCGTTTGTTTTTTACTTTCAATTCAAATGTAATTCTGGTTAAATTAGTCTGAACTTGCACACCTTTTTTCAAATGGCCTTGTTTAAGTAGAAATTCATATGAATCCCCTTACCTTCTGTGATAACCTGAGAGGGTTTTTATTGACCATGATATTATAAAATCATCTGTAGCGAAAAAACCAGGACACAAAGCATTCTTGATAATATTATGAGCTCTATAAAAGCAACACAGCTGCCCTGACTTAAACCCCTTTTCTTTAAAGTAATATACATTAAATACAAAAAGGCAAATAGATTTGTTAACGAGCTCCAGGAGTATATTTACGATGTGCTAATCACACCTCTTCAGTGCATTTGAATGAACTGGTTACAAGCCTATGAAGACAGATTATCTTATTTATTACAACATAATCATAAGGTATAGATCAGAAAATAACAGTAACATCACGTCACATTTACAGAAAACGCTGTAAAGAAAACTCAACCCCATAATTGTTCACACTCTTCTATATCAGTGCCCTGATGAGCATACATCGCCCCGTGCTTATGTGTTTATGGTCCTGTATAATGGGTTTTATGAGACAAATGTTGGCAGCAGGAGACCATCGCCAACCAATTAAATCGCTCGGTTCAACCCTCTGATTCTCTGTAAAGGATATTTCAAATTCCTTAGCTGTAAACGTTAATTCTTCTTTAAAGGTGGGGTAGGTCATTTTGGAGAAACCAGCTTGAGTGCGCTAGAATTAGAAAATACACAGCCGGAACAAATCTGCCACTTCCTTACAGAGCCCCTCCTCCAACACGCACGAACGCGCACATGACCAATGAGGGCACAAGATAAGTTTGTGCACAGATGGAAGGCTGACAGGCAGGTAGGCCATCCAGTTATTTTAGCCGGGCCGGCTCAAATGATTGGTCGTGCTTTTTACAGTACTACAGCTTCCACAGATGACATTTTTTAATGGATTTTTTGTCAAAGCACTTAAGATATTCATTGCTATCGGGATGTTAAGAGCATTCCATGGAATATAACAAAAAGTGTATCTCGAGCCGGTTTCTCAAACTTACCTACCCCACCTTTAAAGTCGCCTGTATAATGTTCTTTAATATCAGAATTTGAATATCGATAATATCTTTTAATAGGAGCAAGATGCCATCCCCAGGATTCATTGATTGTATTAACTTCTTCCCTTCTATCAAACTAAACAGACTTCTTCCTGTAAATAAATTATTAGTTCTGTTATTTACTAGTACGGCAGCTAAACAGATATATTTGTATGTGTATGATTAATCCGCCCTTTGCTAATAGCTTGTTTTGTAGCTTGGATCTGTTTTCATGGTCTTCATTTGAAATGTGTTTTAGTTAGGTGTGAAAGTGTTGAATATAATTTTAAAACCGTCTTTGTGGGTAAACATGTTGTTTGTTTTTCTTTCATTTTAATCCTACTGTTTACTTTCTTTTGATTATGTAATTTGAAAGCCATCGCCTAAATGTGTAGTAGGAAAAAGAGATTGTAGTCTGTCTTGATAACCTGATGTGTTAAGGGTTTTATTTTAGTAATAACATTTGTTTTACAAAAATACAATTGACATTTTCTGGATTATGACTAGTAGATAGTATCTACCGTAGCATCAGAATAAAGTAATTCTGATATATTATTTATAATGTCTTTGACCCCTCTGTTTTGCCCTCTGTTGAACATCTGCGTCGCGAGAGATATGTCAATGCAAATTAAATTAAATTGTCATACACTGTAATATTGGTATGATTAGATGATGTTTAAAGTGTTGAAAGAAGTGCATTTTGTCCGTTTAGTCAAATTGTTTTGATTAGTTTATGCATGAATGCTCCTGGTGGATATTCATATATGTGAGACATATCCATCCATTTCCTTCTTTTTATTTACCTGAATAAAGTGAATTCCAGTTGCTTTTGAGTCCAACATTTTGAAACTGGTATGAAAAATATGAGTCCTCTGAATTATTTTACTATTGCAAACTTTTGGTAAACAGGTACTCAACATACTGTGTTCTGTGTTTTCCACATTAAGTATATTTCCTGATCAAAGAGATTATTTTAAAGGGGACCTATCATGCAAAATGCACTTTTTGATGTCTTTTATACATAAATATGTGTCCCCGGTGTGTCAGGGAACTCACGCAGCGTCAGAAAATAAAACCCTCTCTTTTCCTCCGTACCCAAATCTCTAAAAACGGGGCTACAACGGAGCTGATCCAGATTTGCGTCCGATATGACGTAATATCGAAAATGTAGGCTGGCTTTACACCCACAGCCCTATCAGAAAGTTGCTATCAGAAACAATGCCCGACTGTTTTGGACGTAATATGGTCGGTGCATGTTTACATTAGCATCGCTAACAGTCAGAGCTAACCTGTACTGGAGAGCATGTGTGTGAAGAAGCAGGAAATAAAAAGGAACTCACCTTGTGGTATAACCGGCAAGAGAGAAAGCCTTTGAGCTCCATACTGTTTCAGAAATAATCCTTGATAATCCATGATATGGCGTTTCATCACGGCAGTATTTAGTTTAGACAGTAGCTGCCGGGTCCCGCATGAGCTCAGCCCCCTCCTTTTTTCTTTTTTTTAAAGCTTTATACCCCAAATCAGCACTTTTGAAACAGGAAGTGAAATAGAGTGATATGAGGCATGGCTAGAATGGGTGATCTGTTTGGTATTTTGAGCAAATCACTTCATAGACATGTTTTTTATATATTTTAATATATCTGAGACCTATGCTATTGCCTAAAAATAGCATGATAGGTGACCTTTAAATGACATCGAGTGAGTATTTTCACATTTCATTTGTGACCTCTGTGGTTAGGGTAACTTAATCACTTTTATTGTCCTGCTTTTTAAAGAGAGGTGGATCATCACAGCAGCTAACCTGTGTTTCTGAGACAAAAGAAGAAACAGTCCACTCTGTGAGGGACAGACAGGACAAATGTGAGTGGACAGGCGGCTTAATATCTACAACTCGGAAGCTCCTCAGTATGATTCGACAGGAGGTTATTGACCACTTTTTAATGTCATATTTAATATTATACAGATGAAACGCCACCATGACCAAAGAAGAACCTATAAGCACACTAAGCCTAGGCTAAAAAGATTGCTGTTGTTGATGTTGCTCATCACTTCATAGACTGTTAACTTTCATATACCATTGACCTAGTTTGTAAAATTGCATGTTAGTAGGTTTTAAGCTGGTGTTTTGCAGTTTATTAGATATTTGACTGCATTATTCTGCTGCCTAAACTTCAGAGTTACAAGTAGACGAGATGTGTAATTGCAGCACATAGCAACTGTTAAAAAGCATCCATGGCAACATTGTATTTTCATATTGTCTACATTTAACATGTTTGCAACACATAATCTGTTCCCATTATGTTCTCATAATTTCAGTTAACATTTACTCATTAGCTAAATAACATAATTTAACATTTCCTTCTGAGGATTAGCTTAGAATAAAATAATTCAGGGAAAACTAATTTCAGTTAAAAGTATTATTATTCAGCGTTATTCTTCCACCGGATTAAATCCAATGTCAAGACATTACTCTCTTACGCATATTCTATGTTAGCAATGGAGGACAAAATCTACCTAACAATAAAATACTTAATTATATTTTCCTGGCCTCTATCAAATGTATAAACAATTGAAGCACCCGACAGCGATTTAAATGTACATATAGGCATGCAAGGATCATTTTAAGACATACTTGAAAAGAGTGTGAACCTTCCCTTTAATTTCAATCACCACCCATGTTTGATGTCACCACTGGATGGCACTGAAGCCCAGACGTTGACTTCAAAGACTTCCTAATGATATAAATTGATTAAGCGTTTACCTGAAGTGTGAGTCAGGCATTACTTCACAGCCAGCTGAACGCTTTTTGCCCCGTAGCCGCGAGGAAGTGAGGCGGATGCAGCCACGGGATGACGCACCATTTTATGTTCCAAACAAGACGTCTGAGCGGCACGTGGAAATCCCCCCTTTGTGGTCGACTCGAATTCCAGTCCAGGGTTAGACTGAACCAGCCTGGAGGTAATGTCACACACACACAGACACACCGCAAAATCCCAAAGCGCAAACGGGTATATATAAAGAATAACAGGCCTACAAGTTGACCTGTCAGTGATGCATAAATAAAAAATCAGTTTTGAGACTTGCAGAGTTTGATTCCACTTGAGAAATTATAATTTGGTGCATGTCTCACGCAAGAGAAGGGAGGTGAGAATATGATTTTGCTTTGGTGAATGGACTGTATTTGTTAAGCATTTGACATTTGCAAGTCAGCATTCACCTATTCACACACATTCAGACAGAGGCTGCCATACAAGGTACCACCTGTTCAGGGAGAATAGTAGGCCCAATTCCAAACTGACCCCTAGACACTTCATCTGAGAATAGATTAAACCACCGTCTCCTGTAAATAAGGCTCCTTTTCCTAAGGTGTAGCGTGCAAATACAGCGGCAACATTTGGTACGAACTCTCCTCTCTTTCGACAAAACAGGAACTGTTGTAACTTTTCATAACCATGGTTAAGAATGAGCATTTCTCTGACAAAAAACCCCATTGCAATAGGGCCATATTCACACAGTTAGCCATGCCATCTTTGCCATCAATGTCACCATTTGGGGTTAAGTATCTTGCCCAAAGACACATTGACATTCTAGATAGAGGACCACTGTCTCCCTCCTGAGCCACAGTTTCTCTGACCTGTGTATTTCAGGGATAAAAAGTACTATTGACACTTGCAGAGTTTAATTCCACTTGAGATAATAAAACTGTCTGGATGGCTCGATGCCCTAATAGCTATACGTGAGAATATGTGTTACTTTTGTAATTCTTGTGAACTGACCCTTTAATGGTGCTTCTTATTCTGTTATTGTTAGTGCGCTCGGTGTACCAGTAAAAGCTCTCAGGGACCGTGCAGGTGTGTGTGTGCAGGTGTGCTGTGCATGTGAGGCAGATGGTAGCACGGCAGTACATGTGGCAGCCAAACACAACATTAGGGAAATATCGACCTTTTCTCTAATCCTGCAGTCACACGATATGGGACAGGAAGGTCAGTCAGAGACGCCTCCCTCTGAGGACCATCTCTTCCTCCAGTGTGTGTGTGTGTGTGTGTGTGTGTGTGTGTGTGTGTGTGTGTGTGTGTGTGTGTGTGTGTGTGTGTGTGTGTGTGTGTGTGTGTGTGTGTGTGTGTGTGTGTGTGTGTGTGTGTGTGTGTGTGTGTGTGTGTGTGTGTGTGTGTGTGTGTGTGTGTGAACAGGTGTGTGAACAGGTGTGTTTTGTTTGTGACTGAGTTTATGCCCCCTATGAAGAATGTCTGATTGAAGCGCAGTTTTGTATAAAATAGCCTCAATCAGCCATCTGCCTTATTAAAAGCCTGGATAATGTGTATTTTGGTAGAGGAGGGTGGATTAAATAGTCTTTCATCCACAGTGAATCATTTGTAATCTTCAGGGGTATTTTAGCACGAATAAAACATGTGAGTTTTTATCAAAGGTTTAGAGACACAAACATTTGTCGAGGAGATGAAGTAGAAAATAAGTGAATTATAAAGTTGATTTTGGTCATTAAAACAATCTTTTGTAAGAAAAACACAGACAAACCTTTTTAATTGATTATAAAGGGGCTCTTTAATGCTTATTAGGGCTTTCTCTTTCCTGTGTTATATAGTTTTTTGTGTGCATGTAAATGGTCTGCAAAGGCTAGAATCCCAAAGTTTCCTCCAGAGGGATTGTTTCTCCCACACCATGATATAAAAGTGACTGATAATATATGTTAATGTTCTTGACTAAAATACAAAATGAGAACAAAACATGGGAACCAACTCCCAGGGAACTTTTGGTCAAAAAAGAAACTTGCATCCAGGTCAAAGGTCATGTCCCATTGCGGCTTAGCTATTTATAAATGAAGCAAATAGATCTTGACAATCTGTTCTCACTATTCAAATGTGCTTGAAGGAACAAGCACTCAAAATTAATGATAACATTCAGATGTATTTTATCACCACTTCTTCACCTCCTTTTGTTAATATGGCTTGTAGCAACTAGTATCAATTAAGCCACACATTACTATTTGATACAATCACCTGTGTTGCTGCCAGGAGTATTACTCCACATGCTTCTCCCAGACGTCTTGGAAGTGTCAGTATATCTTTCCTCAAGACCAGGCCCTCTTTTCCATGAATCCGAGGCACAGATTATGCAACCTCATCCTACACTGTTCTTTAAACTGCCTTCGGGGAATGCTAACACTACTGTCAGACTGACACTCCACTCACAACGCCTCAGCCTGCATTTTTACTACTCCAGTTTTGATAGCTAAAAGCACTGGTGGATGTCAGACTAAACCCACTGTACTTATCATGTTTTAAGTAATGTCACCTTATAAATCTTTGTGTTGTTATATATTTCTTTGGGTGTGAACTATTTTTGCTAGGGTTTTTTTTTATTGCATTAGTAGTTCTGCAAAAGGGTTTTACCTGCAGGAAATATAATTGAGGACAATATTTTCATCTCTGGTGGAAAGAAATGTAAGGTCATGTCTCTGCAGGCATGTACATTTCCGCCCTCTTTTTTCTCACGACCCAAAAGTCTGTAAAAACCTCACTTCACGACAACAGGTGTTGTTAACACGTGTTAATACTATATAATAATTCTGCGGTTGAGGCATGTGGTCAGTACAGTAACTGGTGAAAAGTGTTATTATAAGAACGAGTGAAGTTGGAAAGCAGATCTGTATTTGTCCGCCAAAATGGGACATGCAGATGTGTAGAAAAATATTTCTTCATGTTGTCGAATCTGCACTTTGGCGGCTCCAAGTGGCGGTGAAGGATAACTTGGATTCTTTTGGACTTAAATACCCTTTATCAGCCATGTACTTTGACATGATTTGGACGGATGGCCAAATGTTGTGTTTAACCTCTTTTGTGTCCT